ATAGGGACATTTTACCTAGTTAGCATGGAATAAAAGTGGTTCAGTTTTTCCTTGACGTTATATTGAAACAAAAACATTTTTTTCCATAGCCTCAGGAAATACTTTGTATTTCTTTTCCCCTATCTCATTATAATGATACCATTTCCAATGGAAACACCAGGCTGGGAATGTCTGTTTTCTAATTATATACCTTAAAGAACATGCAAGTTAGTTAGGGGTTTTCTTGTTCTTAAACATATGCAGTAGTTATCTCTGGTATGCCAAAAGACAGGAGGGAGCAGGTTCAAAGCTTCTTTCTTTCAGGGCAGCCAAACAGGATGGGGGTTCCTCAGTATGATTTGTAGGGAAAAAGCAGGACTGTAGAAATCAGGCAGCTGTCTGCCACCAAACATTTTTGTAATTCCCTAACAGAACTCCTCTAAAAATGCCCATTGCACCTGAGTGATCATACCATCAAAGAGACCAATAAAGTATTGTGCAAAACACATTAATGTGAGCAATTAAAGGACTAAACTAGAATCAGAGAGGTCTGGGTTCAAGCCACAAAGCTTGAGATTCTAGAACTAATAATTTCTCAGCGTACTTGTCTCTTAGAGTTGTGTGAATAAATCTTCATGTGTATATATGGAGGAGGTGTATCAAACTGCACACACTACTTTAAGCTGCTTGGAGAAAGGACAAAATAAAATTATAGGGTAGATAGAAGAGTAGCTTCCCATAAGCTTCAGATAAAATTATACCATAAGTCGCCATGATGGCATGATCCCACATAAAACTATATTCTTAACTAAAAAACCCCCTAAGTTACTAGGGGGAAAAGTAACCTAGTACCATTTCACTTTATACAACAGTTTTCTATAAGTTGTTGCTATTGTTATTTCATGGAAGGTAATACCACCAGTGAAGCCATATCTAAAATAGAATTGTCTGTATATAAAAAAGGTATTTTTATGAAGAAGTACCAATATGACACTAAACACTGAGTGGGCCACATACTATAATATATTTCTCTAGATAGGGTTCCTCAATAACCCATGGCTTCCTTGCTAATTCTTTAATCTGTTTTTTTTTTAATGCTAATATTTAGCATTTGTTTTTTTTTAAAATGCTAATAAATAAAAATGCCAAATAAATTATAAAATCCTAAAAGAATTTGCTTGGAATTGATAATAATTTCTGAGATTTATGTTTAGAGAAACGTAAGATTGTTTGTTTGTTTGTTTGTTTATTAAACTTGTCCCCGCCCATCTCCCCCCAATGGGGGACTCGGGGTGGCTTAAAACATATTAAAACAATAAGTAAATATACACTTAACATTTATAAGAGGACACATTTACAAAGAATAAAAGGAAAAAGAAAAATCCAGGAGGCCAATGGAAGGAACACCAGACATCTAGGGGGCTAGCCAACCCCATATCTGATGACCTCCCTCCCCACCCCAGGCCAGATGGCAGAGCCAGGTCTTCAAGGCTCTCCGAAAGGCCAGGAGTGAGGGCGCCTGTCTCACCTATGGGGACAAGATGTTCCATATAGTTTACAGCTTTACCAAACATCTAAATTCATTAAAAATTATTCATTATAAAAGTTTCTACCTTATCTTTCCAGTTAGGGCAAATATTCAAGGTGATTAAAATCCCACTGACCCAAATTAATAAATCCATTTAAATAGGGACATTTTACCTAGTTAGCATGGAATAAAATGGAACTATACTTCCTGTGGTGTGGAAACCACAATTCAAATAAGAAAAATGTCTGACTTCAATGGAAGCTTGAAGAAGAAAATAAAAAATAGTGAATAAGTAAGAAAGAAAATAGAAGAAAAACAAAGAAAAACAAAAGAAATGAAAAGAAATGAAAAAATTATAAAAATATAATTAAAAAGAAGCGGCTTCTGATCTTTCTCTCTCTTTTTCTCTAAGGTTTTTTTTAAATATAATATTTATTGAAGAATTTGTTAACAAGATAAAAGCAATACAAATATCAATTTAAAGAAAATAATACCTGAACAAAATTATGTGGTATAGACAGCTCATTGCTGGCAAGTAAAAATCATCATTTTAGCATTATGTTTAGCTCTTTATCCATACCATATTATGGATATTTTCTTTGATCTGGTGATCCCTTAAAATTCTATTAACTAAATCATTTGAAATAATTGTAAATTTTAAAACAACAGAAAAAGCATCAGAATAAAATTTACCTAACATCTGTACATTGTATGCTGTGCTTAATCAATTTAGAGTGCCTATAAAGCCTGAGAGAGTAGATAAGCTGCATAAAATTAATTTCAGACAACCAAGCAACAAGTCTATAACAAACATTAAACATTAAGATATGCAAGTAATTTTAGCAATAAAAAAGGCAGCAACTAAACAACATAACCCAGACTAAACAATTTCTTGAATTTAAATGGTCCATGCATTCTATTATGAGAAAACATTAATGCAGATGGAAGACATTTAAGAAGGCATTTTTATTACTCATCACAATCCTAAGGAAGTCAAAGTTCAGTAGACCTTAACACATTATTCTCAGTAAAAGAATATTTGAATCAGATTACATGAGTCGTCAGCCTGTATCTTTCTGGTATCTATGTTCTGGCAATTCTGTAAGTCTTTTCCAGCCAAGTGCTATAAGATTCAAAAACAGTAAAATGCTACAACAGTAATATATGAATAGTACACTTTAGTCACTTGATTCACCAAAGTATAGCAAGTCATCATTGCTGGAAATACAATTTGGAGTATGTTGCATAGGCAATATTAGCCTTTGCTGTTTGACATCTCTCTGTATCTCTATACACACACACATATAGGTGCAAATCAACTTGTTTGATCTAAAATAGTATAGAATTTGCAAACCTCTTGGGTACATACTACAACACAATTGCTTGTTCTCATTTATTCTCAGCTTATATTTTTTAAATGCTGTCTGCCTGAGTCTGTAACTATTAAAACTAGAAAGGTTCAGAAACTCTGAGAGCAATTTGGCAAGTCTTGCTGAAACTTATTTTGATTTTTTGATTATGTACCATCAAGTCTGTGTCAATTCTTAGTGACCGCATAGGCCTTCTCCAGAAAGAATTGTCCCCAACATGCCCCTTCAGATCTTCCAATGATGCTGATCCATCCACCTTGATGCTGGTTGTCCTCTTCTGTTTCCCACCATTGTAGACATCTACAGAGAGCTGGGTCTTTGCATAATGTGCCTGAAGTACGATGATTTGAGCCGGGTCATTTATGTCTTGAATGAGAACCCTGGATTGATTGGTTTGATGATCCATTTGTTTATTTTCTTGGCTATCCTTGGTATTCTTGGGAGTCTTCTCCAATACCTAAGTTTAAAAGTGTCAATATTCTTTCTATCCTACTTTTTCAAACTCCAACTTTTGTTTCCATAGAGTGACATAGGGAATACCATTGCCTGCATGGATTTTGAACTTTGTAGGGAGTATCTGAATGTCTTTTCCAAGGCCCTCATTACCTGTCTATCTAGTGCTAGTGTGTGGCATATGTCTTGACTGATGGTTCTTTTACTGTTGATAGTTGATAGAAGCTATTCACTATTTCAGTATTGTCATTGTCAGTTCTAAGGCTATATATGTTGTCATTAGTTTGGTCTTTCTCTTAAATCTTAGTTCCATTTTTTCACTTTTTCACATTAGTTCCTTGACTTCCATTACTAAAGTTTGCAAATTATTTGCATTTTCAGCTCAGAGCAGTGTCACCACCATGGCACAGGTTATTGATGTTTCTTCCTCCAATTTTAAAACCATGCTCAACTGCAGTTTGAGTTTGAGGTCCAGTTTCCTCAGCATATGTTCTGCATATAAGTCAAATGAGGAGGGAGAGAGTAGGCAGCCTTGTCTTATTCTTTTGACAATGTGGACCCAACCTGCTTTACCATTTTCTGCCCTGACTATGGCTTCCTGCCCTGTGAATAGGTTTCTCATAAAAACACTGAGGTGTTCTGGTGTGCCTTGTTTTCTAAAAACATTCTACAACTTGTCATGGTAAATGCAGTCAAAGACCTCTGTACTCTTTGAAGCACATGTTGACTTTTTGGGTATTCTTTGGCTTCAGCAATAGTGCTCCTTGTTCATCAGCCTTTTCTGAAATCAACTTGAACAGATGGCCTTTCCATGTAGGGCTCTAATCTGCATTGGATGATCTTGAGAATTATTTTGCTAGTGTGTGAGTTTGCTGAGTTAATTATGTATGATTCTTTGATTTTATATCTGTTCTTCTCTGAATGTTTAGGTCAAATTTCAACACCAGATTAATACTGTATAGACCCAAAGTATATGAGTACGAAGAGATTTATTAGCTCCAGCATTGAACTATATTAATGTAATATGCATTTAACCTGGATTTTTCATTTGCCTTATATGTTTTTATAGTTCCTAGAATAAGTTGCCTTGAATGTTAGAATAAACAGAAAGGTGGAAAAAAACTCCAGTAATCAATCAGTCAATCTAGGGGAACAAAGCAGACTAAACTGACAGTGAGAGACCTATGTCTTTAAATGTGTGCCTGCTCCAAAAACTGCTCCTTGCATTTTCTATCCCCTTGTATCACTTTAGTATCAGTGCCAGTAGGGAGGTATGTCGGAAATCATGTAAAAGATTCAGCAAAAACAAACATGGAAAAATTTTATAATTTGTTGGAAAATGTCATTTTTGACCATTTAACCCTTTTCTTATGGTTAGATTATATACATGTTTTTACTGTGACAACTTCATATGA